ACACGGTAAAAGTTTTTTATATTTCGCATGATCAACTAATATACCTTTGAAAAAATTTAGGCAAACTTTGAAAACAGACCCCTCATTTCGATAAATTTTAGGGATATTTTGAATAAGGCCATTTTAGATAAGGGAAATGGTAAAATCAGTGTTAAAAGTGGGTGGGGTAAGGGTAACATTTTTATACGTATTAAGAACATTTTGTTTAGAAACAAACTTTTTACTTGTGTAATGTGTTACCCTGAATGTTATTATTTGTTTCTTAACAATGAGCAATAGAAAAACATTTTTTTATAATGATGATATTACAGATTATTTACAGTTTCCTCATTTCTGAAAAAAAGCTTTTCTAATGGCAAAGTCTTAGTTCAGAAAATATATCCATAATTCATAAAACCACACGGTAAATTTTATTTAAATTTTGCATACAGGTGACCTTGGAGACATATAAACTGTCCTATGTTGTCAATTTTTTACAGTTCCTTATGGTGCCCATTACCCATGGTCTACCTTAAATATGTATCAATAAAAAATTGTAAATATTGTCAAACCCTTCATTTCTTCTTTTGGTGATTCGTTTCTTTTTTTTGGTTTTACTACATATTGGCACATAACAGACCATACTGCACCGAATACTAAAAGTGTTAATATAAGATAATTCAACCTAAAAATGGTTAATTTAGTACCGTTCAAGGTTCTAGCCCCGTGAAGGGGTGTTGCACTTCATCATTATCCTTGATTTAAGGACACAATCAGACCGAGTCCGCTATTTTTCATACTATTTTTTGTGATGAATGCCTCTGAAGGATCGAACTTTTTCTTGATTTCACAAGTTAAAAACAGAACAGGCATGTGACCAATAAATTTCATGTACAGTGTTATGATTATACGATATGAAAAACATGATAGCATTAATAAAAAAAAAATAATGATGTAAGATGTTGGAAAAAGTCCAGCTTTTTAATACGCGAAAGGGTTGTTAAAGCAACAACAATAATAACAGTATTCGCAATACACAAGGAACTGTACACAAAATTTATAACTGACAATTGTCAACACCGCAAAATTGTAAATGTTTGCCAGCTCTATTTGATTGAACCTAATCATGGATGGTTAAACAAAAAATAGACATTATAATAACCTTTTGTTACTGTAGCCACAAAGGTATTCAAATGTTAGCTCAGATAGAGTATATATACTATTTAAACAGATGGACGACCAGGTGCTTATTGGCCGAATCGATTTATGTGTGTGTATAAAAATCAAAAACAGCAACAACATAAGCAACAACGACCTAACATAACACAACTAACAGTATCCAAAATATGTAAAACAACAATCTAACAACAAAACAACAATGACAATGGTCACTTCAAAATACTAATCAAAAAAAAAGAACGAGCAATCATTAAAGTTTTGCAAGCAATAACAAGTCTTAAACACGTTGAACCATAGCAGCATTCCCAGGGCCACCGACCATTCAATTATGACCTTGTGGAAAACATGAATGAACTTAAAATCTTTTGAGTTTTTCGTTTGTCTGTATCATAGTTATGTGTTTCCCTTATGTTTAAACAATAAATAACAAAAAAGATTTCATTTTTTAGTGTTTCAACTTTTCTCTTTTTAAAGTAAATTTGTCGGAAAGGTTCCAAGTTCTTTCAAAGTTATCTCAGGAAAAAACAGTTTTTAGGGACGAACTGGCAGACAGGGGTAAATCTTTTAAGCACATCCATGTTGTAACCAGAATATAACGTTTTCAAAAGCAACATTAAATCTTGAACCAGGTGGAGATTACTCTAAAAATAAAGTTGCTAGCCTTCACAACCAACATTGTCATACATGATATAAGTGATAATTTTTAAGTTTATTCTTTGCCTTAGCAACAAATATGTTGAACATAGCAAGAAGGAGGAAGGAAAAAATGTTCATAATCTTCAGAATGCCATCTACCCATATTTCAAGTTTCAGAACAATAAGTTTCAGTACTTTTGATGGGATAACGTGAACGAACGTACAGACGGAGGGTTTTTTTATACCTTTAGACCCCTCCGGTGAAACCAGTAGTAGACTTATATTCGTGTAAGAACATAAGTGTGCGGACGTTTCATTTTTCTTTTATATAAGCGTTTACAATACTTAAACATCAAAGCTCAAGCTTGCAACAAACAACTTACAGATATGTATTTTTAAAGCCAAAGAAAAGCGCCTCTTCTGTACATACTTTTTTCAACATCAACATTTGTTTCCTATAAGTGTACATTTAAAAGTAATACATAACAGGCATTCTCTTACTTGAGTTAGGCAAAAAAAAAAGTTACTTGTTTCCACTACCCCGACCGACCCTATTTTGTTGCCGCCGACCCTACATTTTTTTTTGGACAAAAAAAAAAATTCGACGATAGTCATTTTCTCTTTACGAGTATTAAAATTCCTTTCCTCTTATTAACTATCTTTGCGCGCTTTAATATAACTATCGGCGAGACGCTTTACCAGTAGACTAAAGCGTTTATCGATATGAAACATGGCTACGAGTATTTTGAACGTTACAATTGCAAAATGTAAACAATTCGCAGGGGTTAAAAAGATATGTGCATTTCCGAACAATGCCTTGATATCTGATATTTTCTTTGAATTACATGGATCAGTCAACAGTGCCGATTTAAAAAATAAAATAGACAATTTAAGTTTGTCGGTAGTCGGTTCAACATCCCCTTCGTGTACAGATTTCAAAGATTTACCGGAGGTCGACAGTTCTTTGTGTGTTACTGACATTGTGCAGTTTGGATTAAGATCTCTTTTTCTCAGATGCAAAGAAGAGCCAACTCTCCTAGAAAGTGTTGCCATCGCAGCAGAAGCAGCAACACACAAGGCAGCAAATGCATTTGAACTGCTGATGGAAAAAGGGAGAGTGTTTCCTGACAAAAAATCTACAAGGTTTATAAATGAATAAAAAATTACATTTATATTTTAAAATATTTTTAATTTCTATTAAATTTATATGCTACTGGTATTAAACAGTGTTGATTTTATAAATCTGAATGCAAATTTTACTTTTTTAATTTTGCATTTGATCTGACAATGCAAAATCGTTGAAATAATTTAATATTTGACAATCATTGAAATGATTTATATATTTGACTTATAAAATTAAAAAAAAACATTTTATAAAAAGGAATATAAATATAATAAAATATTTATATTTTAATAGATCAAAATAGACAGTTGTTTAAAATGACAATTTAGGCTAGCAGACTATAAAATATTTAAACAATATGATTATCAAGACTTTAATCCGAGTATTTGGGTTTGATTGAGCCAGTCTGTTCATGGATGGCACTGGAATGTGTAAGCCACCCTCCAAGCCCCTAGCACTGGCTTAAGCAGAATTCACGTTTTAAATGAAAGTTATTTTTCACATTTCAGTTCTGGGGTAAAATCTGGCACTGTGAATGTAAAAGATGTTTTGTACAACAAACTGGTAGACTTGTTTGTGATGAAGCACCTTGATTTCCCAAAGGGCAGTAAAGAAGAAGGGCAGTATTTGGTACAGGTGAGTGTTAAGCAGTTATCTATACAAATTCATTTAGATTTTCACGGCATTTTCTTTTACATAAAAAAACAAAGTATTATCTCTTAATATAAATTAATGTGAATGTAAATTAAACTGTAATACTTTAGAGGTTTTAATCAAGTTTTGTTTTTCATTGGGTCAGGTGGCGGGGAATCAAATTTTAAAGCTACATGTATTGGTATTAAATATTAACACATTCAGGTATTAAATTTATAAAAAAAATGGAGAACCGCATACTATAGAATTACAAAAAAGATATATAAAATAGAAACAGATGGCTATCCATCAAATAGTATTTTTTATAGATGTGTATTTTTATTCCATAGCTTATTTTCATGAGGTAAGATATCATCCTTGTAGCTGTAGTTTATGTAGCTTTTTTATTTTAATACTTCTTCAATGTAACAAAGAATAATTATGTCAAAACTCACAGTCTTTGTTTACTATATTGCCTTGGTGTATGGTATCTTTTCTGGTGCTTATTTTGCTTCTAAAACCTTTGTCCTTCTGAATGTTGTTTTAATTTGTATTTCTATGGTAAATTTCTAACACTTTCGGTCGTATTAAACTGATTTAAAGTCTATAAAGTAGTGTCATTTTTTTAATTTTATTGTAATTTCTCTATATATCTGACATAAAAATCAGGAAATAAGTTGTCACGATTTCATTATATAAAATATAAATATAGAATATTTTTCTTAAAAGAGACTGAGAGTAGAAATATTTTGGTAACTATGGCATCAGTGTTTGCATTTGTGTTTATTTAAGAACTTTAACCATTTATATTTTAAGACTTGATTGTTTGAATGATATTTGAATATACAAAAACATGATTATACATTAAATACACAGCTATTAAATAATAATTCTGTCTGTTTTTCAGGTTTTATGTAATGCTCTTTGGTATGTGACAAACCACCATGAAACCTTTAAAGAGTCTTCCAGAGTACAGTATATGAAACCCATACCTTCACTTTTCAACTCTCCAGAGTTTCAGAACCTAAACAACATTAAAAAAAAGAAAGTTAAAGCTCATAAACTAAGTGAAACTGAACTGCAAAGTCATTGTCAGGCCTTGTACAGTTTGTTGTTAAAGCCATTTATGAGGAGTAGTCCTGCATGGTGTACTGCATACACAGAGATAAAATCTTTAGCAGACTGTTTCAGTTCTTATTGTGAGTACTTGAAAAAGAAATGTGAGCAAATTCAAAAGAATCACAGTCTTGACCATCCTGTTAAAACTGTTGGCGAGCATGCAACAGTTGAACATAAAACAAAATGTATTCTTGGTGTGAAACATAAGTATTCCATCCTAAATACTAAAGTCTCTTCATTAGACATTGGTGAACATATCTTTTTTGATGAAAATGAGCATTTGGAAGAGCTTTTCAAAACTAACAATCAGAGAGCAAGGTATTTTGAAGAGCTTCAGTTGTCCGTACCTATAGATATCTACCGATTTAGTCCAGGTGGAGGCATAGTAGCAACTTCATGTATAGTTCGTGTTCTTGAAAATCGTACAATACCCCAAATTCTTACTCAAGGGGCTAGATTTGTCATGCAACATAAGGATGAATTCAAAGAGTACCACACACGTGCACAGAAAAGGGCTTTTAAAGAAAGCTAAAACAATATTGTTGGTGTATTGCCTTCAGTCACAGAATTTATTTACAAAGAATTGGCCTTGGATGCCTCAAAGGCTACCCATCCAGATATGCAAGAACGCTTGCGACTTATTTTTCTTGGTCATAAAGGTCTTGTGGCTGATCTGCGTACTCTGAATGTTGGTAGACCCTCACACACTTTTGATGTGTTTTTTGAACAGTTGCAGAACATTATTGAAAACAAAACTGCTGTTGATGACAGAAGACATGGTGAGGCTCATCTCTCTGAATGGTTGTCACTTGAGGACATGATACAACAAGCAAAAGAACGCTGTCCAGAGAACACCCCTATACCTTCCAAAACTCTTGTAAGACTTCAATTTTCTCCAAGGAATCAATATGCCAAGACATCGTGGAACTTCACCAGCCGCTTACAGGTTCAGTATAAAATTCAGAGGAGACAGCTGCGCCTTAGCCATCCAGATGAGCATTACTGCAATGCTCTTCTGAAGTATTTAAAAGAATTTGCTGTTGAAATGAAAACACAGTGTAATGTTGCTATGTTTGCATGTGATGATAAGGCAAAAGTACCCATTGGTGAACCTGGATTTGCTGTTAGTACAGGAGTAAGGGGGAAACAGACTATAGTACCAACATCATCAACTCTTGTGGCCGGAGATCATGATATAACCAAGTCATCTCTAACTCCATCAGTATCACTGCAGTGTGAAATACCAGACTCAAGCGAGCATTCGTTTGTTAGAGGAAAAGTACATGTTACCGTAAATGACTCTGTATTTCAGTCTTCAAATCCATTTAGACATGCCGCTACTCTGGTGAAGATTGTTAAACATCAGCCAAACATCAACATTCTAATACTTTACACAGATGGAGGAACTGACCATAGGAACACATTAGCAAGTGTGCAGTGTTCTGCAGTATGTTTATTCAAGGAATTGAATGTTGATATGCTTGTAATGTGCAGGTGTGCACCTGGACATAGCTGGAGAAATCCAGCCGAGCGCATTATGTCATTATTAAACATTGGACTACAGAATTGTTCCTTAGAAAGACAACAATGCAATGATGAAATTGAAAAGCATTTAAAGAAATATGGAAATATGAAAGAAATTCGTGAAAAATCATCTCCAGAGGTAAAACAGGCTTACATTGAAGCAGTAGAGTCTGTTCAAAGTATTGTTCGTAACAGATTTTCAAAATTGAAATTAAAAGGGGAAGGTGTCCAAGTGTTAGACCCAGTCACTGAAGAGGACATTGATTTATGTAAGAGGCATTTGAGAGAACTATTTCCCGAACTAAATCTAGGGAAACTAGTGAAAAATGTAACAAAAAAGGTCTTGTCACTTACAAAGTGGATGGAAAATCACTGCCGAGAACGCCACTATAGCTTTCAAATTAAGAAATGTGATGATGAGAGTTGCTGTAGAAAATCACAACTTTCCGAAAATGTTCATCTAGACTGGCTTCCAGATCCAGTTCTCTTAGATGACAAGGAGCATTACAGATCATACAAAGACAGCAAGGGCAAAGTAACTGACGAGTCTGACCGCCCAACCTTTAAAGAGTCAGAGCGTAAAAAGGTGACGAAACCAAGAACTGCTAAGAAACGGGCTTTGAACGAAACTGGTGACACAAGTGACAATGTGACCAATCAAGATGATATTAACATGGTTTGTATATGAATATGTTGTAATTTAATAATCAAGATAAAAAAAAAGGACAACACTTCTTTCATATTTTGTTTGCATTCTTGGCATATAGGTCTCTTTATGCCCAAGTTTAAATAATGTTTTAGACTTTTAAATTAAAGTTAATGAACAGTTTTTAGGTAAAGCATTTTGACAGTTTTACTTTCAAGGAAGCTGCCTTTATAGTAATATTTTCCATTTTCATTTTATAGTGTCATTTTAAATACTAAATATATAATACTTTAAAACAAAGTTTATATACATTGTTTAATATACATCTGTCAAGTGTATTCAACCCAATTTTATATTAGAATCTGTCTATATTTTCACAGGATGTTGAACAGAGTGTGTCTGATGTGACTGAATCTGAAGCACCATTTCCACTTACAGCCCAGACAGCACGAGGATAGTTAATTGTGTGGAGTGTGAAAAACCTAGAGTTTATTATTGTAAAACCAAATTGTCTAGTCGTCAAAATTTAGTTCTGATAACAGCTATTTCTGAAAATGATTACACATGTGGATCTCCTCTTTCTGGACATGAACTGCTGAAAAATGTTTATATTAAGACTGCTGTTAATTGTGGTAGTCAAGTGGAGTTTCCATACTATAGCAGTGAGTTTGCAAGGTTTAATGTGTGCGCATACTGTGGAGATAGTGATGCATCTGTTGATACAGAACTGAAAAAACGTTATAGAACAGTCCTTCCCATTTGTGCCAATTGTAAAAATAGTGGAAAAGTGTCTGTGACAAAGAGACCTTATGGAAAAGAGTAGTGACTGTTTTTTTATTATAAAAATTGAGGGACAGTGGTTGGACGAAAAAAATCATAACATGCACAATTATTAAATGTTTATTCAGGAACAATATAAGTGCAAAAATAAACATATATATATGTATGTAATAAATTTTATATTGAAAAGTATTTTTTTTTCAACAGCATGCCACAGTATCTTGACACTAAACAGCTAAATACCAAACACTCTAGCATTTTACTGCAGTCTAAACTTCTAAGTGTCATTTATTATATCATTTCTTTACTTACATATTCATGAAGTCAAGTTTCACAAAAAAAAAAAAAAAAAAAATTCCTACCTACCGACCCTATTTTTTTCAGAGCTGGTAGTGGAAACAAGCAATTTTTTTTTTGGCCTTACTTGAGAACTTTAACATACATGTATATGACTTAAGCAAAAGCAAAACATTTTATCTCTACTTCAAAGGGCAGGACGTGTAGTGGTTACACACGTATTTTCTTCATGTTAGTGGATTTGTATGCTGTTTTGAAATAATTCTTTAATATGCATATTCTTTAAAGCAATGTATATGGCACACCCCATTGTGTTCCTTCACGTGTTTTGCTTGTCTGTAATGTTACTTGTTTTTGGATGTTCACATGTTTTGTGATGTCTGTCTCGTAAGATTGTCGTTGACGGTAGGTATTTTCTCTCCCCCTTCCATTTTAACCCCCCCCCCCCCCTCCCCACCTTTTCACCCGTACAGCCCTTTTCCCTTTAATTCCCTTATGGGCCTGTTTTTGTTTATATTATTTTACATTACATGTCTCGCCCTTGTGTCCACTCCGGGTGCTTGCTTGGTGCCTTCTGGGTGTCCTGCTTGTGTGTGTCCGGGAGCGGCGTCCTGTGAACGTTGCCTATGCCTTGTTGATGTTTATTCTTGTTATTTTGAGGTCTCAGCTTCCTAGCTTCTGATATGAAGAAGTAATTGAACATATGAACAGGTTATGTATATTTTGAGATTTGACAACTGATTTTCCAGGGCGATATATATGCTTATTTATTCGCAGCTGTACGTTTAAATGTTCATTTTGTCAATTTCGCAACAAATTTTCTTGCTTGGACCAAGCGTGCAACCAAAGCACGTCATGTCCCTTGTACATTGACCTCACTTTACATTTAGCCTGCTCGTGGCAACATATTTTACATATGTGACAAGAGCAGACTTATTTGTTTTATTTTTTTTCTGGCACACTAGCACAATTTTGGCGCAAAAAACAACAGGAAAGACGATTTGGCTAGCCTCGGCTGTTACAAAAGTAAGGTACCACTAGATGTCAAAATGATTGCTAGAGCTTAGAACTGCATAGACTCCAGTCCTTCGAACCCATTTAGTCGCCTCTTATGGTCACGTTGGGATAAACGGTTGCTGCAATTCTGCTGGCAATCCCTCAGCCACAAGGAAGGCAGGGCAGACTAAAGTCAACCAGCAAATCTGCGCCTCTGATCTGGTTTGCTTTGTTTACTTTTGAGTTATTACATATTTTAAAATTTCCCTTGATTTGTATACATTAAAATGTGAAAAAACAAGAACAACTAGGAAGGGTGGTGTCCAATGAACGCAACGATTGACAAGTCAATTTAGATATTTAGCAACTTAAGGTTTAACTTTATATATTACAATAAGTAAATTATGAAAGGTTTCCAAAGCATACAAGAGTGAAGTCAATTGCATTGATACATTTACCTTACTGGTTTCGAAATATACTACATTTGTATATGTAGTTTAAATATTAACAAAAATGTGTAATATAATATTAATATAATAAACCGTTTAACATCTTTGCTGACTAAAACAACAAACTACTTTGTTATAATTTTGTGATATAAATATAATTTCAAGTGCATTGACGTCTATATCTATCTATGTGCAGACTGCAACTGCATAATATTTTCAGTCAGTTTGCAACTGTTTTCTTAATTTATGAAAATAAAATCACTACCTCAGTATTTTGACTGACCTTTTTTCCGGTGAATGCTGAGTCTTTTATTGCGATAATTTTCCTTCGTTCTTGTATCCAGAAGTTCAAATCGTTTCAAAACTTTGATCCGCTTAGAAAATATACAAATTTAAAGAACTGTTGGCATCGAGCATGAAATTTGTGGCCGACTTTGTATTATTCATCTTTATTATCTTTATCATCTGGATTACCAAAGTAATTTATCTCATCTAGTAATATGTAAACATGACACGGACCTTGAGTAATCAAGAAAACTATATTCAGAACTATTAACATGACCTTGACTGAGCTTGTCACAATATTCTTTGATGATCTCGTGGTATTTTTTACCAACAAGACGATTGTCAACACTGTACAACTAAGAATCCATGTGTATGGTATGAAAAGTAAAACTACATGGTAGGTTTTTTGTAAATAAAAACCAAATGTAGCAAGCTCAAGCTCTTCATACAGAACGCAACTAAATCATGTGATTTCTGTTGTGAGATGGACGGTTTTTGAGTAAGTACCGCCGGTCATGCAAAATCATATTAAAAGACTCCCTGTCCAAACTGCAATAACAGATAATTTTGCCGTCCCATAGGAGCAGAATAAATGACATTTGTTTGGAATAAAAGCCCTCTAATTGGAAATGACGACAAGCTGCCAAACGGAAGCGGAACGACTTGACTAAGCAAGAGCTGTTCGGAGTTTACAAACGAGTGTCGAATATATCCGATCTACAAATTCATAGTTCAAGAGATACTCATTCAATATGGTTTAACAGGTGACAAGCAAATCAGCGATTGCCAAAGAAGCAATGTATAATTGCGTTGACGCCAATCTCTTTTCTTTTTATGAAACACTACAATTAAGACCAGTGAGTTGCCAACAAACGAAACCAATATCATCACCGGTAAAAAGTATAAACAGAATTACGAAAATGTTTGCATGCGATCCGCAGCCGCTCTATCTCCTGAGGAATTCCAATGAGTAAAAAATGCCATAAACCGTTTGGAAATAAATCACACAATACTATATAGTAAGACTAAGGTGAGTTATTACCTAAGCTTGAATTGAACTCAATTTTTTAGTTACGTGCAAAGATATAAAATGTTTAAGTCCTAAGTTGTACTTGCCGGTGATATCCCAATAATTAAGCTTTTCAAAATTTACCTGAGAGGATTAAGAACCAATTAGAATTCAGAAAAATGAATAATTCGCTTTTACAGATAAGACAGATAAATCTTTGAAGTCTTTTAACGTTGCTTCATTGATTTATCAGGGCATGGTCATAGTTTCAAATGTTGCATCTTACTTGTATTTAGGCTTAAGTTACCTTCCTGTCGCGACATTTAACGTTTAAATTATAATCTAAACACGCCTTAAAACAATGCTGATTAGAAGAACTGTTGGTTATATTGATAACCACACTTTAAACATATAGTCAAACATTCAATGTATAGTTCAAAACGCTGCTGTAAATAGTTATCTTCGAAACTAATGTTTGAATATTGCTTAATAATTTGAAGACTGAATTAATGTTGTAAAGTAAATTGATTAATGATGATAACTCACTGAGCTTTAAATATTTTTGCATAATTTTCTTGTTATGCGGAGGA